CTCGCCCTAACAATCATGGACTCCGGGGTCGGGCAAGCTGAATAGCTGACATGCTCCCGAATGTCAGGCCTTAACATATCATGATAGCGGGTCTTCCGCATCTCCTCATCCCCTGCATACTGAGGTACCAACAAGGCCCTCTCCCGGAACTTGGTGGTGATCTCCACCACTGACTCTGTAGTCTGTCTCATATCAAGAAACTCCCTGGCCATCTGATGAAGCTCCATAGTTGGCGTAAACTCAACCCTGAACCTGGTCACAAAGTCTGTCCAAGTCATAGCCTTAATGGTTGGGGTTCCCATCGAGTCACCGACTGACTCCCACCAATCCCTAGCTCTGTCCCTCAAATAACCCACAGCAAACCGGACCATCGACCCCTCTGGGCAGAAGCTCGTCAACTGCGCAGACTCGATGTTTGCAATCCATCTTCTGGCTGCAGTGGGGTCCTTCACCCCATGAAAGTCTAGCGCACCGCTCCCCCTAAAGTCCTTGAAGGACAGTGTACACGTACCCGACTGGCTGGATGCCAAGTCACACCTGAATGTTCGGAGGCGATCCTCCATCAGCTTGATAATCTCCTCCTTGATCAACCCGAAAATGACCAGGGTCGCCTCGAGGATACCTCTCGTGATATCAGACGCGATGAACTCGTGTAGCCCATCATCAACCTGCTCGGATCCCGCACCCGAGCTTGACCCTGATCCTGACCCAAATCCTGCTCCATGTCGCATAATCACCATACTGAAAACAAACACAATGATGTCAGTGTCATACATACTCTCAAGAGATCTCACACACTATCCAATTTTCCTGGTTCTATCTCAGCCTCCCTGATTCGAGTACGAATCATCTGCTTCCAGTAGTACGGGACCATACTACCTTCCATATCTATCCGTACTTTCCTCAAGAATTGCCTTGACTTCACCAAATCCCTTTATACTAATATAATTTTCCAACTAATCTCATCCTAGGCTTGTCCTAAGGCACTTTTTGACCTACTCTCCGCCATCAGCCGCACAAGGAGTCCCTACCATATTTCCCTAAACTAGCTTGCAGATACTATTACATATCCGCTCACTAGTTAGTTAAAGCTAGTCGGAACCCTCTTTCAGCACAAAGCAAGCAACATTCGTGCATTGAGTATCAAATACCAGGCATAACCTAATCAGGCTGCCATACTACTGACTAACCAGCCCTAGCATATAACTCAATAAACTCATACAACAGACATATAAGGCATCCTCCCGAGATCCTTAGCCCTAATCTAGCATGCAGTTCTCATAATCATAACATGTAACATAACATAGCATGTATGGGTATCGTGGGGAAAACTTACTTGACCTCGGCCGGTCGCACACATCACACACCTCGTTCTTTCTCAAAACTCCTTATTTTATATTTTTGAAAACTATTTTTCTAGTAAAAATCCTTCAAGCTCTCGATTTGAGTTCAGACACCCCGAAGGTGCGCCCAAATCCCTCAAATCAAGGCTCTGATACCAACTTGTAACGTTCCGATTTTCGAGTCCAAAAATTTCGTTTTTAATTAAGTAATCTATAAAACTGTTTACTGAAAACATTGTCGATATCATATCAATCCGTAAACCATCATGAACATGTATCAAAATCAAACATCGAACAATAATAAAAATCAGAGTACAATCCCAAAAAACTCGATGCGGAAATCATGTGTGTATGATGCGCTGCTACGCCGCCGACTCCTTTCCATTGGATGAAGGGGTACCTGAAACCAGAACTGAAACTGTAAGCACAAAGCTTAGCGAGTTCCCCCATCATACCATAAACTATACAGTCATACATGTTGCCTTGCAATTATGGGGCGCCCGGCCTACCCATGTCAAGCCATTCTGGGGTGTTGACTACCCATATCAAGCCATTATGGGGTGTTGACTACCCATGTCAGTTCATTATGGGGTGCATGCCTACCCTCCGGTATATCTCACCCGATCATGGGGACTATTTCACCCATACTACTACCACATAGTAACCTATCATAAACATATCGTCAGACATATCTGGGGTGTCCGACCTACCCTTCGGTCCTAACAACCGATCGGGGGGCTATTCCCCTCCTACTACCACTATAGAACATATCATACATGCATATAGAGCATATCAAGTAATAGCAAACCAGACAATTATCATAAAGATAATCATCTCAACTGTAATCACTACTAGTGGGTTGACCTTGGTGCCTTATACCCACTTCTACTGGAAGGTAACTCACCTCAATGTCGCGTAGTGTCTGTACTGTCCCCGGCTTGAAAATCGACCTTCCTCAACTCCTCAATCCATACACGACAACTCTATGAAGCCATCCATTCGTACTCACAACCCCCACAAGGTTAAACCCAAATCCTGGTCAAAGTCAACTTTGGTCAATGTCAATCTCCAGTTGACTTAACTCGCCGAGTTTGTCTACCAACTCGAAAAAGTCCTTATTCCTCCAAAATGATTTAACCCTCGACTCCACTCATCGAGTTTAGCAATAACTCGACGGGTCCTCCTTCAACCATAAAATCAGGACCATCTTCAACCAACTCGCCGAGTTTACCCTTGAACTCGTCGAGTTTATCTCCCTCATAAGAATGTGCTCGGTCTATGACTCGCCAAGTTGGATGAACAAATCGTCGAGTCCATATTCATGGGTTGGGAGATTGCCTTGGACTCTCTGAGTTTACTCATACACTCGTTGAGTCCCATGATTTCCAGGTTTACAATCACATCCATCTTTGTTGAGTCCCCTTCTTGACTCAACCAGACTCCTCAAAACAGCAAAGGTCGGGGAACCGTTACCCGACTTGCCGAGTCTCAAGAACAACTCGCCGAGTCCACTAAGTCCATGTCCATAAACTCGATTTATGATGAGCTCATCTCATCCAAAGGGTATATCTGACCTATTAGGGTTGATATAGCACGTAAAGTCACGAACTTTACGTCCATGCATGAGTCTTTAAGCCCAAAAGGACCAAAAAGGAGACCTACAAGATACATGGGGCTCTCATAGCCATAGAGTTGGCACCTTTATGCCATGAGACCCTTCCAAAGTCCAAGATCTGAAGCCATAACTCCACATTACACCGACAACCTGAAAATATCTTAGAAATGCTCTAAAGATACCAAAATCCAAGCCCTAAAGTTGATTAAACATATGGAAAGTCAAATATCGAAGCTTTTTACCTTAAATGAGCTGGAGATGAAACACAATCTATGGATATTCTAGCTTCAACTGGAACTCCCAAGCTCCTTTCTTCTTCTCAAGCTTCATAACCACCAAAGAATGCACAAAAATGGCTTAAGAGCACTCAAACAAGGCTAGGGTTTCAGTTTAAGGTCTTCTCGAAGTGTGAGGGACGATGGAGGCTGATATGGGAGGAGATAAGTTGTTTAAATATGATGCAAACCCTTAAATTTAGGGTTTCACTCAGACAGCTCCTACTCGTCGAGTCGGTCTCCCGACTCGTCGAGTAGGTCACTTAAAATCCGCGCGTAAAGTCGAGTCTACTCGACGAGTTGGGCCTTCAACTCGCCGAGTTCCAAGGTAAAAAAAATACTTGGAATTAAATACATACCAGGAACCGAGTGTTACAGTTTGATTTTGTTGCGTTTTTGTCCATTGCATACATAAAGTTAGAGACCAAACATGCAATTTTGACTAAACCATAAGGACGAAAAACACAACAAATCAAACCATAGGGACGATCCGAGTACAAAAAAAGTTAGGGACTAAACGTGCAATTTTGACCAAACCATAGGATGATTTTAGTAATTTACTCTAAAACCAATAAGACACTAGAAAAAACATACAATTACAAGTTTACAAGAAAAAAAACATTGGGTTTTGAATATGGGTCGGTATATAGACCAGTATGGTATCAATTTGCATTTATCATCCTAATTATTTGTTTTTGTTAATCCATATTTTCGGTTCCAAATTTTTACCGATTTGGTTCCACCTTTTTATGGGTGAAAATCAATTTTTGACCAAAAATCATGTGCAATTCTTCTACCTGTCTTAACTCATTTGTCTGAACTTGCAATAACATTATATTTATTTCCAACATGTAACTTACTGTTTGTACTTCATTTCACAATACAATATCATATTATTTGGTTATATGTTTATTGGGTTACAATTTTTTGAAGTTGAGGTATCGTTAAAAACATCATTTTATGTTTGTATGATAGACATTAGAAACATCATTTTAAGAAAATTATGCTTCTTTTGTAAAAACTCGTTAAACACATTTAAGACAACTTAAATAATTCATATGAACTTTTGAATATTCAAATAACTCATCCAAAACCATTGATATCAATTGCTTCATCGACTTGTATTCTCCACATTACATGCTGTATCAATTCCAATTGGTCCAAAATTTGAAAAACTGGCACCGACATCAATGTATGCTTAATGGTCCGGTCCACGGTCCATTTATTACCCCCAAGTTGGTTCGAGTATCCGATCTGGTCAAAATGCTTATCCTTAGTTTTGTAATTGCTAAGTTACAACTACTCCTAATGCGAAACAAATGAAAGAAAAAAAAGGACGATAGTATGTTGTGGTCGGGTACCTTTTGCACAGTGTTATGTTTTGACCACTCCCTCTGCCACCATTCCATAGGCTACATTTTCTAGCTTTTTCTTGCTTGAGTTGAGCACATAAGCCAATCATTCTTTTACTTATTCGTAGGCTTTTCTAGAATCTTCATTTCCTGTCGCATTTGTCAATCTGCCTTTCAAAAATATTATGAATAAAAGATCCCTCCATAAAGAAAACCGATGGAACAACCACACCACCCTAATCATGAGGAAATGCGATATGTGCTAATATCGCCCAAAGAGCTTCAACCTTAGCTTTTGCAAAGCTTATTTTACCTTCCCTTTTTGCACAACATCTTATATTATTGAGTCCAATCGCGAGAGTCTAAACTTTGTTGCACTAGTCCGAGTTTGCATGCCTTCGACTTAGTAGGTATGATGGGTGAAACGAATCAAACCCCTATTAGATTAGACAGAGCTTCATTGATAAAAGCACAAAAAGTTGCTTTACACGATGAGCCATTAGTATGTGTCAAAACTGTTATAATACTACTACCGTAATCGTGTACTCAAACATGCAAGAACGGCCCAACTTGCTGACTGAATGTTACCTGCTTATTGGCTGATTTGACAACTGCCTTGAAAGCTTATTCTGATGGTTAGTTACGGTGGTTCCTTCCTAAATAAGTTATCTAAAAATCAGTCTTTCTAACCCAACCGATTTAATCTCACGATAACATAGCAATTAATTTATTTTAAATACCATAACTGTAGATATCACATGTTTAAACCATTATAATTTAAATAAATCTCTATATCACATGTTTAACCCATTATAATTTAATCAACTTACGAAAAATATTTAAACCTAAAAAGGTTAAAAGGAGACAAAGTTGCTTGGGTAAAATAAACATACACTTTATTGTACTTTCACATATCTTTCACTTAATCTATTTGAATAAAAAATTATCAATAAGATTACATTATTTTTGTTTGATCAGATTTAAATTTATAAACTTATGATGCTCTTTTTTATTTTTTATTTTATTTTATTTTTATTTTAAAATTTAATATAGATTTAGTTTTTAAGTCATAGAAATTAGAAAGGATCAGTTAACTGTTTCTGCCGACTTGTAAGTTGCTATTTGCTGCTGTAAAAAAAGTGGGGTTTGAAACGGTGGAGTTCCATGGATGGGGTTATACGTAACTGCAGAATTTAATCCTAAATTCCCATCTTTCCATTAAAATAGTCGATTACTGTATCTGTATGCCATCAGCCCCTTTTGTAGGACCTTTTCTCTTTCATTTGCAGGGCGGGAACTCCAAATTTACTCCAAATTCTTTCTAGGGTTTCTTCGAATTTCAAAATTGGTTCAAGGGTTCTATTGGGGTTCTGGATACTGAAGACCTAGATGATTTGCTTGCTATGATGACCAATAGCAACACTACGATGAGTCTTCGTAAGGGGTCCAAGGTGTGGTTAGAGGACAAAGGCACAGCTTGGGCCGCCGGAGAAGTCAGCGGTTTCTCCGGCAAACAGGTTCAAGTAATCACTGAATCCGGGAAGCAGGTAATGAATTTCTTTTTTTGTTGATTATTTATTTCTGTGTATTTTTCTACAGAATTCGTCAACTGAGAGGGATTTGACTTGTTGTTTAAGCAACTTCATTGAAATAATATCCGAATATATATGATTCAAGACGGTTTTATTGTTTGTTTTTTTCTAAAGAACTGTACATTTTCGTTGACATCAAAAAATGATTGAGATCGAAACATTTCAACTTTGAAAGAAAGGTTAGGTTATGTTGAGAACAGTTTTCATTGATGGGAGTCATGATCTTGTTGTTAACTTATTGGTTCGTGTAAAACTGAAAAAGATCTTAATTTGTCAACTACTGGTGGATCGGATAGAATTACAAGATGCCTAAGCCACACAATATGTATAGTCTAAACTAAAGTATATTGAACATTATTGGATTCTGACTGACGTGGCTGCTTTCTTTAAATTCGTTCTGGACTAGTTTTGGTTTCAGTTTCCTTAAATGGCAGAGAATATTACACTATAATGATGTTAAATGGCCTAATTTTTATCTCTAGAATGGAATCTAAAATATGAAGACTGATAGTTACATTTATGTTTTCTTGCAATCTACCAACAAAGTTTTGCTCCACATTTGGAAATACTACTTTATATGTGGAGAAAAAGCTGCAGTGCTTTAACTGGAAGTTCGGGAATATTAAATTTGTACAATCGTTAGGCGATCTTATTTATTGGAGAATATATTATCCACAAGCTAGTAACATGATGAATAATGAGCGAGTTATTGGACTATGGAAACTATGGTATTGTGCTAAATATCAAATATATGAACTGTTTAATAAAACCGTTTAAGGTTATTAGCTACATAGACAAGTTATTTGACATAAAAAAACAATGCAAGAAGTGTTAACCACATTGGCATTACATAGTAACTCAACTGAAATTATTGACTAACCCATAGTTTGAGATTTTATGAAAGAGAATTATCCGGAAACCACTGAACCATTTAGACAACATCACGTGACAAGTGTAAGTTCAGATTTAATCACTTTGTCAATTGTCATTTCATGTCATTGTGAAGGTGTTGACTTTTGCGGAGAAGCTGTTACTAAGAGATGCTGATGCAGAATATGGTGGGGTGGATGATATGACCAAATTGGCTTACTTGAATGAACCAGGAGTGCTTGATAATCTTAAGAAACGTTATTCTCTTAACGAGATATATGTAAGTGACATATTTTATTTTGATTTTGAGCTTTACTTTCTAATGAATTAGACTTAGTTAATCTCCTCGTAATCATAAAAACGACTGATGGATTTCATAATGTCTATGTTTATAATTTTGTATGCATGTGTGTATGCTCTCATACTTCTTGTCCTGTTTTTGTGTGTTTAGTTTATTTATGTTATGCACTTAAATGTGTGTTAATTATGATATTTCATGTTAAAACAAAGAATGTGTTGGTTAATCTAGTGTGAATCGGTTCTTGGTGTTTATATTAGACATACACAGGAAGCATCCTAATTGCTGTCAACCCGTTCACAAAGCTTCCTCATCTTTATAATGTCCACATGATGGAGCAATATAAAGGAGCTCCATTTGGTGAGCTAAGCCCCCATGTATTTGCTGTAGCAGATGCATCTTACAGGTGTATTTTTGTTGTCATTTCATCAATAATTGATGATAATTTCACATTTTAGTCTCTTTTTTCATCATGTACAACTCTATATTCATTCAGGGCAATGATGGGTGATGCAAAAAGCCAGTCCATATTGGTCAGTGGAGAAAGTGGGGCCGGAAAAACCGAAACCACAAAACTAATCATGCAATATCTTACATATGTTGGTGGTCGAGCTGCCATTGATGACAGAACAGTTGAACAACAAGTCCTAGAATCAAACCCTCTTCTAGAAGCTTTTGGAAATGCAAGAACAAGTAGAAACGATAATTCAAGTCGATTTGGAAAGTTTGTAGAGATTCAATTTGATTCAAATGGTAGAATATCTGGTGCTGCAATTAGAACTTACTTACTTGAAAGATCTCGTGTAGTCCAAATCACAGATCCAGAAAGAAACTACCATTGTTTTTACCAGTTATGTGCATCTGGAAGAGATGCTGACATGTACAAACTAGGTCCTCCAACCAACTTCCATTACTTGAACCAAAGTAAAGTTTATGAGTTGGAAGGTGTAAGCAGTGCAGATGAATATGTAAAAACCAGAAGAGCCATGGATATTGTTGGAATCAGTAATGAAGAACAAGAATCTATATTTCGGACATTGGCTGCAATTCTTCATTTAGGGAATGTGGTATTTAAACCAGGGAAAGAGCATGATTCATCAGAAGTGAAGGATGAGAAATCAAAATTTCATTTGGAGACAGCTGCCATGCTTTTCAAATGTGATTTGAAGAATTTATTGGAAACTTTATGCACGCGTTCTATTCAGACTCGTGAAGGGGTTATAGTCAAGGCTCTTGATTGTGATGCTGCTGTTGCGAGTCGTGATACTTTAGCAAAGACTGTTTATGCTCGGCTTTTTGATTGGTTTGTTACAAGCTTCAATCTTTTTTCACTTTCTTTATTGGTTTTATTAAATTTTGATGACCTTTTGTGGGTTGTTTCAGGCTTGTTGAAAAGATTAATAGATCTGTTGGGCAAGATCATAATTCTCGCATGCAGATTGGAGTTTTGGATATATATGGATTTGAATGCTTTAAGCATAACAGTTTCGAGCAATTTTGTATTAATTTTGCAAATGAAAAGCTTCAACAACATTTCAATGAGCATGTGTTTAAGATGGAGCAGGAGGAGTATCGGAAAGAACAAATCACATGGAGTTACATTGAGTTTATAGATAATCAAGATGTTTTAGATCTCATCGAAAAGGTTCTCTCTTAAATTTTATTATTATTTTTTGCATTCTCAAGACTTTATTTACCAATACCTATCATCATGCTTTTGCAGAAGCCTATTGGAGTAATTGCTCTACTGGATGAAGCTTGGTACGAATGATTTACAAGACTTTAGATTATCAAACTTTTTATCTGTTATTTGTCAGTAGATTATGCTTTAGTTTTTTATGTTTTTTGCAGCATGTTTCCAAAGTCAACACATGAAACATTTGCAAACAAGCTTTTCCAGAATTTGCGGGCCCACCCAAGGTTAGGGAAGGCAAAATTCTCCGAGACAGATTTTACCATTTCTCACTATGCTGGCAAGGCAAGTAATGCAGGTGTTACTAACATAACTTACAAAACACATTGTAATATTCCATCATGATTCTTGAAATGCAGGTTAATTATCAAACAGATTCCTTCTTGGATAAAAACCGTGATTATGTGGTTATTGATCACTGTAACCTAATGTCTTCTTCCACGTGTCCTTTTATCGCTGGTCTTTTCCCAGCAATGCCAGAAGAATCTTCTAGATCATCATACAAGTTTTCTTCTGTGGCATCTAGATTTAAGGTATGATTTATGCTCTTCTTAAATTTTTTGTTGAACTTTGCTAATGTTTGTTGTGTTCATGTTGTTTCTGTATGTTTCATAGCAACAACTACAAGCTCTCATGGATACCCTGAGTTCAACAGAGCCTCATTATGTCCGCTGTGTGAAGCCAAACTCAGTCAACCGGCCTCAGAAGTTTGAGAATCAAAGCGTGTTACATCAGTTACGCTGTGGGGTCAGTGACTTCATACATAATTTTTTTTTTCTCTTTAATTTTCAATTTCTTTTATTCACTTTTCAACATTTTTTATCAGATATTGTGTGTTTCATTTCTGTACAGGGTGTTTTGGAGGCTGTTCGAATCAGTCTTGCAGGTTATCCTACTAGGAAAACCTATCATGAATTTGTAGACCGATTTGGACTCATTGCCATGGAAGTTATGGATGGAAGGTGGTGTGCTGAGTTGGACAATATTTCCTACTTTTGGTTAAAAAAAAATGTAAAATGTCTTTTTTACCCTTGATCTGATGTACTTGCAGTTACGATGAACGTGCCATGACAGAAAAAATCCTGCAAAAACTAAAACTTGAGAATTACCAGGTCTGTATCTGGTCATGAAATTTGAGTTCACCTAACACTTCCTAGTAAAGTAAAACTGCTAATTTTGTTATTTTTACAGTTGGGGAAGACCAAAGTTTTCCTGAGGGCTGGTCAAATTGGTGTATTGGATAGTCAACGTGCTGGAGTCTTGGATTCTGCTGCAAAGCGTATACAGCTTCGAATGAGAACATTTATTGCACGAAAAGATTTTACATTAAAGCGAAAAGCTGCAATTTCTTTCCAAGCATACTGTAGAGGTCATCTTACTAGAGTTATATATGCTAGAAAACGTGAAGCTGCAGCTGCTATTTTGATACAGAAGTACATTCGTGGATGGTTGCTGAAGAATGCTTATACACAACAATATGTTTCTGCTCTACTTTTGCAAGCAAGCATCCGTGGTTTCATTACTAGACAAAGATACCTACACATAAGGGAACACAGAGCTGCAACTGTAATTCAGGTAAACTTTCAAGAATTAAACATAAACTTTTGTGTGTCAAATGTTAAGAATTGATATAACACAATCTCATTGTTTTTTAATTTCACAGGCTCGATGGAGGTCGCATAAAATTCGTTCCACTTTTCGTCATCGTGTGCTTGATATTACTAAAATACAATGTCTTTGGAGAAGAAAATTGGCAAAGAGAGAGTTCAGGAGGCTTAAGCAGGTAAAATGCTACATTTATTGTTTTCTTTGTTTAGCTATTGTTTCTTGTTTTGTATTTGTATGTCATTTCCTTTTACATCTTACAGGAGGCTAATGAAACTGGTGCCTTGCGCCTAGCGAAAACTAAGCTAGAAAAACAGCTGGAGGATCTGACGTGGCGCTTGCAACTAGAGAAAAAATTAAGGGTATTATTGGTTTCTCTTTGCTAAAATTTAGATGCCTTTTAGTGTAATGAGATAACAATGTAATTAATGCAGGGGTCAACTGATGAGTCAAAAACTGTGGAAATTGCAAAACTTAAAAAAACAGTGCAATCTTTGGTTCTTGAGTTGGATGCAGCAAAGTTGGCTACTGTGAATGAATGCAACAAAAATGAAGTGTTGCAAAACCAACTGGAAATGTCAGTGAAAGAAAAATCTTCTTTGGAAAGAGAACTAGTTGGAATGGCTGACTTGAGAAACGAAAATTCATATTTGAAGGTAAGAAGATAAATTATTTTGAATATGTAAATATGGAACTTGAAGCTACTTATTTCATTTCCATGTAGAGCTCACTGAGTACATTGGAAGAGAAGAACTCAACACTGCAAAACCAACTTACTGAGGCTAAAGAAGATGCATCCAGTAACCTTAAAAAATTGAGGGAGGTTGAGAAGACATGTGCAATACTCCAACAGAAGTTAAAAAGGTATTGTTGTATTTAGTATTTTTATTTTTATATATGCTTCTATTTTATGCTTGATTTTATTGTGTAGCTTTGAGGAAAAGCTAACAAGTTTGGAGAAAGAGAACCATGTTTTAAGACAGAAGACATTAAGTGCCACTTCAAGAGGGAACTGGCAAAGTAACACCAAGCCGTTTCTTGAGGTATATTAATAGTTTTTATTTTTATTTTTAATCACTTTCAGTCTGAATACAACACATAATAACTCTTTCATGTGGTTAATATGTTTGTTGATTATTTTTGTACACAGAAGTTCTCTGGTGCACTTGCTCTTCCCTTCACAGAGCGAAAATCTATATATGTAAAGACCAATTTGCCTAATCTTCCATCCAAACATATTATTTTAATTTTATGTATTATCATATGTGTGACATTGTAATCCTTATGTAGGAAACCCCTACTCCTATCAAAAGCGCCAATCCAAATTCCCAAGGTTTGACCGATTCACGTCGGTCAAAGATGACTTCTGAAAAACAGCAGGAGAACTCTGAAATCCTGTCACGGTGTATTAAAGAAAACCTGGGATTCAAAGATGGAAAACCTGTGGCTGCTACTGTTATATATAAGTGCCTTCTTCATTGGCATGCCTTTGAATCCGAAAGAACCACAATTTTCGACTTCATTATTGAGAACATCAACAGTGCTCTTAAGGTGGTTTAGTTTCTTCACTTTGTGTTTCTTAATTCTTATAAATAATAAAAATCTCATTATGATGGGATGGTTTTGTATTCCAATTCCAGATGGGTGACGAGGGACTTACCTTACCATACTGGTTGTCCAATGCTTCAGCTCTTTTATGCCTCCTGCAAAGAAACTTCAGGTCCAATGGTTTCTTGACACCTCAGCGTTCTGGTGTGTCATCTTTTTCGAATGGGAGGGTTGCACAAGTAAGCTTTGGTTTTGTTTTCTTCCGGTTTTACCCTTTTTGCCTAATTTAATTTTGTATGCCGTGTGGACTATGGACATTTTGGTCAGGGGTACACTCCGCATAAATATGTTGTTGATGATGGGATTTCACCCATGGAAGCTAGGTATCCAGCTATATTATTTAAACAACAGTTAACAGCTTGTGTGGAGAAGATATTTGGGCTGATAAGAGACAACTTAAAAAAGGAAATATCACCGCTCTTGAATTCATGCATCCAGGTTGGTTTTTCTGTATAATATCAATATATATAGTAAGTTTAAATGAAAAGAAAATTATTTATAAAATGTTGATTTTTTTTTTTTTTGTATAAATATGAATAAATAAATAAAGGCACCCAAGAACCAACGAGTACATGGTGGTAAACCTTCAAGGTCACCTAGTGGCATCCCTCAGCAGGCTGCTGGTAGTCAGTGGGAGAAGATCATAGAGTTTTTGGATTCCCTCATGGATCGCTTACGTGGAAATCATGTATGTAATTGTACTTGCATAGCAAAATTGAAGAAAATATAGTTTTATATATATTATATATATAAACATATTATATATGTGTATGTGACAGGTGCCTTCGTTTTTCATTCGCAAGCTTACAACACAGGTGTTTTCATTCCTCAACATATCACTTTTCAACAGGTATTATATGATCCAAATATTGTTATTGGTATTGTTAGGTCATATAAATACTGAGGTGGAAGTTTCTTGTAGCCTTTTATTGCGGCGAGAATGCTGCACATTCTCAAACGGGGAATACGTGAAATCTGGTCTAGCAGAACTTGAGAAATGGATAGCCAATGCAAAGGAAGAGGTGTTTTATTTTGTGAATATTTTTATCAATATAAACTGTAGATTGTGTTTGTGGAGGCTTCCTAACCAACAATCAACATTTTGGATTTGGTGTAGTTTGCAGGAACTTCTTGGCATGAATTAAATTATATCAGACAAGCTGTTGGGTTTCTGGTAAACTTCATTTCTCTCTTGCTATCATTGTTATTACACACAAAGCTTGTATTTTCTTGTCCCACATAAAAAGGTGTAATTCACTTTTTTTTTTTTTGGTAATTCTTAAATAGGTGATACACCAGAAAAGAAAAAAGTCTCTGGAAGAGATCAGACAGGATCTATGTCCGGTATCAACATATATCTTAATCTAAGCTTAATGATGGATTTATTATCGTCTTGTTATCTCTGAGATCACATTTAATTTAATAATTTGTGATTTTGTATTGGATAGGCGTTGACTGTTAGACAAATATATCGCATAAGTACAATGTACTGGGATGACAAATATGGGACCCAAAGCGTCTCAAATGAGGCTAGTATTTTCTTTTCTACTTTACCCACTTGTCAATAATCCTCGATTCATTTGGTTTACTAATATTTATATAATACAATGACAATGTTAATGTTTGTTTGTTCTTTTAGGTTGTTACTGAGATGAGGGAAATGTTGAACAAGGACTCTCAGAATCTTACTTCCAATTCATTCTTATTGGACGATGATCTCAGGTAATTCACAATTCCAATCATTTCATTTAAATAAATCATTTTTTTTTTTTTTTGAAATTTAATTCATCTTTGGTGTGTACATATACATATACATATACATATTGCAGCATTCCGTTCTCTACAGAAGATATCTACATGGCAATTCCAGGCATTGATCCTACAGATATCGAGCCCCCTGCGTTCTTAGCTGAATATCCTTCAGCACAGTTTCTACTTCCAAATCCCAAGTGAATTTGTCGATAAAAGACAGGAATGTACCATTTGCATGCTTAGGGTAGGGGAAATATATCGTTTCTGTAGGGATATTTAATTAGGAGTGCAAGCAAGGCAAAGTTCCATGTAAAGTAAAATACTACTAGTTAATAGTTAATTTCTTTTCTTTTTTATTCTTTTGTAAAGCTTGTTTGTTGTGCACATTGTAATCGATTCCAGTGGACCCTCGTTCTCGTAGCCAAAGCAAAATCCAATTATTTATTTTTAAATGGTAAAATATAGAGGCCCAGAGTGAGGATGATACATGGTAAGTTATAGGGTCTATTTCGTATGGTTGATGGAAACACTTCAAAGTTAGAGATGTTCATAGTAAGCAATTTACAACATGAAAGTTAAAAAGTTTGGGCTAACAGTTTTCAATCTTTGTGGGATTGCATTGATGCAAGTTGACCATTGAGAATGATCTCAGCGACAATTGTGGTCTGTTGACTTGAGATTGCTGAAATGTTGTCATTGTTGTGGTTTTCGGTTTCTTGGATATCCTTCCAGTGTTTATGTTTGATAGTTTGAAAGCTCCCAGATTTTTTCGTTTTCTTGTGTAAGCATTTTCTGGTTTTGCAATGTCTTGTATGGAATTGGAACTGGAACTGGAAGATGATGTTGATGGCCACACATCCGCTAAGCTCGTGAAAGATTTCGATTTCCCATTGTAGAATGATGATATTCCCCTCCTGTAACAATATCCATATGTATTAACAATCGTGAATTCGATTTGTGTTTATAAAATTTGGCAAATTAACTGCAACATTTAAGGTTTACTTGGAGAAAAAAGGCAATGTGATAAAGACTTCCAATGAATCGGAGAAATCTTACAAACAGATCGTTTGTCCATTTTTTTGATTTGATATAAATTTGATTACGAATGCATACGATCGGTCATGGCAGATGATTATAACGAATAAGAGATCACAAATTTATGCAGAATTCCACGTTTTCTGAAAAACGTGAAGAAAGTAAACCTGATTGGCAACGCTTGTTCCAGGGCTTGAATTGCATCATCGAAGGATCCATTGTTGTTATGATGATCATATGCGTAACGACTCTCGACATCTCCTTCCCGATCGTCGTCACTGTCGTCTCCGATCGAAGAACTACTCGATGAATTACATTCCTCTTCCTCTTCTCGTACGATCATCATCGACTTCGTTGATCCTTCAAACATGCTTCCATTTTCTCCTCCTTCGCCAACATGTGTCTCCGGCAGCAACGCCGACGTCCGGCAACCACCACCAAATTCATCGCCATCTTCTTTTTCCCAGATCGTCTTCATCTGATGGTCACCAATGTAACAAGAGATGGAATTTCACAGATTCAATAAATCGATAACCACCTTCCGAGTTCCGAATTTGCAATCTCACTGTTTATATTTATATTATATTATAAAAGAAAGATATGGGAATTGATGATTGCTGAATCGGATCCTATTCAGATTAGTGGATAAGATTTATTAACACACACGACTTATTATTACTTATTTCCACTAATTCTTTCTTATTTTATATCAATGATTGAATTTTATTTTATTCTTACAAAACCCATTGGCTACAGTTTTCTATTTTCCGACGTTATTTAAACCTTTTTATGTTGTTTTTTTTGTTTGACATGATAAGTGAATAGAGTGATAGCTTAATAGCTATTTAGATAGACAAACTACGTAAGTAATGTATTGTTTTCTATAAAAAATTTGTTATAAAAAAAGAACGGGACACATAAAGCATGTTAAATATAATGAAATTATTTATTATAATGATATAATATCAATAATTATATTCAAGATACTAAATATTTATCACAATTTTTGAAAAAGAAATAAACAAATGCTCCTACACTAAGAATTTACTTATTTTACCTCAACCCAATACTATTCTCTTAAACATGTTTTACCACCTTGACCTAGGAATTATGCGTCGTTTCTATTTATTATTTTTTTTCCTTTTAAATCTTGTATTAATAAAGTAATTGAATTAATAATTAAGTTTGTTAGTGTATACCTAAATATTATCATTTTTATTAACCTAACTAAATAATTCTTTTTATATTCCGTTTAGAAATTGACAATAAAAGTTAATGTTTGTCATTTAAAAAACTATTTATGATATGTTAAATAAATTAATTTATCAACGAAAGTAAAAAATTATGAATATTATATGTAATATAATAAAAAATTGTATATAGGGCGTGGAGCTCGGATAGCTCGGCAACGGACCTCTGCGAACACGGTGCACACCGGGTCGACCCCTCGGCATGCCGAGCCCGGCTCGGTAACTTGGCTAGCTTTCACTGAGGAGAGAGGGTGAATTGGGTTGGTAAATGTGAACATTGGAGGGTCAAATATGACCGTTTTTTCAAAAAATAAAATAAAATAAAATAAAATTCAAACAATTCAAGTTTTTTGAAAAAAATGCTCATCGTCCAACCGAAAAGCTCAAAAAAAAAAAAAAAAAACTCAAAACCTAAACATCTCACATTCTCCACCAACTTTAATTCAAAATCAACGTGGTCGACCTATTTATTCTCCACTAAATCAACATTTTGGTGATGTTTACTGTTTACTACCTATTTCAAGTCCAAAACCAATCTCAATACCAAAATCAAGCACAATACCAAAACCAACATCAATTTCAAAACCGATAACAATTTTAAAGAACTCCAGTTTCAAAACCAACCACAAAGGAACTTCTCATCCCAAATGATACATGAGTTCAATCCATTTGATGATCTTCCCGACTCCCCAATGAACCACCAAACCAAATTTCAAACTGAAGCGGAACTCGAAGTCGTCTCGGAAACAAAATCTGATCCGGAAGAGAATCCACCACAACTAAAAAAAAGTGGAAGGGCGCCTCCAAAACATTGGACATCCCCAAAGAAAAGACCGTTGAAAACGGAGCTCATATGCGAAAGTTATGAATTTTTGAAGTTTGGGGCAGGAAATCCGAGAACCTTCGCATACTAGGCTCGAACTTGGCCACGTACGAGCCTCGTAAGCCTGCCCCATGTCCGAATCGTGGCGCGTCCGAAGGATCCGAAGCGAGCCACCTCGCCTCGCTGTTGGTACGTGCCTCGCCTCGCTGCTGCCACCCACCTCGCTTCGCATGTCCGACGCGTTCCCCTCCCCCTCGCCTGTGAACTGAAGCCTGTCCCTCCTTCCCTCCGGATCCAAAGCCTCACACCCTATATAAAGGGAGTTGCGAACCCTCCTGGTTTTGGTTGGATTTTTGCACACTTTTTCACCTTACACCCTCTTTTAAGCTATTTTACAACCCCCGAAGTCCCGGGATCATACCTAACACCCGAAGAACGTCCCGAAGTGTCCGAAGACCCCGGAAAATTTATATTTTCGATTTGAAGCAAAACCCTCGCAAGGCCTGGTTCTCATTAAAGCTCCCGGTTTCATCAGAAATGATCGTTTTAAGAAACGAAGTGCTGCCCGATTATCGTTAAATCAAGTGAGTGTGTAGTCATTTTTCATCTAATACATAGATATGAAGTATTTTCTATAAAATACGTGCTATGTGTAATTATATTGTTTGTTTATTTGAGATGAGTATTGAATAAATGTTTTATACACGTTTTAAACTGTATATGTATTATCTACAAATATGTTGGATAAAACATGGGTAGATGAAATAGTTGATGTGTGTTAAAATGATGAGAGGCCTCGATGTTGTTGTTGTAGTCATCTAGCGGAGTATAGATGACGACAACAAACTTTTCTAGACAGTCCAGTGGAACGCTAGTAGGTTCGCAACCTGTAGGTGTTGGTGAACTATATGTTCGCCAGTGTACTCCATCCCCATCATGGTTGCCTTAAGGACATATATGGCTGAGGATTCCCCTTAGCATCTAGATGATGATCCTTAGGCTAGGTCCCTTATGATAGGTGTTTAGAGACGTAAAGTAAGGATAATGGAAACGAGTAATCAGGGTTATTGTTGGTTGATGAAATTAATAAATTTATTGTTGGTCGATGAAATTAATAAATTTATTATTATTTGTGGGTTGAAAACCCTATATGCTCACCAGGCTCCCAAGCCTGACCCACTCAACTTTCTGTATTATGGGTAGTGGACCCCGAGCATAGTTGGATGATGACGAGGGATTTTTGGATTATAGGCCAGTAGTTGTAAATAACTATTGTAAGACTTATAATATGTTGTTTATGCTTTTGGTATGTATCGGAACATGACATCCCGAGGTTTTGTTATATGATGAAAATACATTTCTTTAAGAAATACTTTGATAATTTTTTTTATCATATTTTTTTTTTGGGACAAATTCTGCAACATCTTTTGGAAGACTATTCTGATTTTATTTTAAAAGCATAAACTAAATCGATCTTTTCTGACCGAGAAAAATGGGGATGTCACCTTCTATCCATGTGTAGCTGGAACCCTAGTTTCTCTAACTTCATGTTTTGACTTCTTGGTTGTGATTTCAATCATATGAATTGATGTTTTCTTTTAATTTCTATCTAGTGAATTTGATTTGCTTTAATCGAATGTTTGATTCTAATTGTGATTCTTATTGGCCATTTGAATTAGGTTTAGGTCATTCAACTTATCTATTTTGCAAAATCCGAAATTGTTTTGTAAATTGGACTAAATAAAAAGCACTAAATTGATTTCCATTGAATGAATTTGGTGTAAATCTTATTCACACATTCTTACACTCCCGAGCTTGGGAGGAGTTTTGGGTGTCATTGGGAACATTCACATAAAGCTTAATGCAATCTTTTAATCTAATTCTAAGAGTTTGTTTAGATTACATTTTGTAAGGTTAGGGTTAATCAAAGAGCTTGTTTTGGTTAATTAATGTGGTGAATGGGAAATGTTAGAGCTTGTTAACACTTTAAAGTACCAAATTAGATAGAACTGAACAAGTATCATGTCATTTTGGAATCACATTGCTAAGTTGTTGTAACGCCCGTAGACCCGGGCTAGTCAATTTAGAGGCAATAAGTGTCAAAAACGAATTTTCGGCAAAATATTATGTATAAAAAATAGTCTTAACCAAGTTGTAGAATATGTCTCAAGGTTTCCGTACATATAAAGAACGCCGAAATCCGAGTTATAACGAGGAAGTTATGGCCCGTCGAAGTTTTACGGCAAAACCGACACGACACCGGGAAGCGTAAATAGTGAATTTACGATAGAGCAACTTTTAGCCTTAGCGATTTAAACAAAAATCGTAGGAAATTTTAAACCGAGAGTGTCCATAAAAAGAACGCCCAAATCTGACTTCGTATGAGGAAGTTATGATTTTTCTAAGATTTGGCATAGCGATGCATGACCCGAAACTCGAATTTTAGTTCGAGCGGTTTTTGGTTTATGCGACCTAAATTAGAGTTGAAGATCTCATTAATAGGAACTCAACGGTAAAAAGGCAGACGAAAATGGAGTCCGTATGAAGGAGTTACGAATTCTTCGCGGTCATTTAACAGTCTGATCTCTTCCTACTGTTAAATTTAAGATCGGTCGAGAATTAGCCGACAGAGTAAAAAGGAAAGTTGTAGATTTTATTTTTACCTACACATGGATATAAATAATGTCAAAAACGAAGCTCGTATGCTAAAGTTATGGACGAAGCTTAGTTTCTACTTTTCGTGCGCGACAAATTCGATACAGTTTTTGTAAATATGAGTTAGAAGGAGAATTAGCCGATGGGGTCTAAATGAAAGTTGTAGTACTCGTAAATATCAATTCGTGTATATAAAGGACGTAGAAAACGGAGCTCGTACACGAAAGATACAGATGGTGCTTGGAGACTACTTTACTATAAAATTCCTATAAATAAGAGATGAACTCTTCATATTTTCTTCACACCATAACCTCTCTTTCTCTCTCTAACTTCTCTCTAACCTCCCTAAAACCCTCTTAAGTCTAGGGAACCTCCCTAGCACGAGAAGAAATTCCCGGAGCGCCCGACGGTCCCGAGAAGAAAAGCTTTCGGCTCGGAAACGCTGCTCCAACGAAGCCCGATTTTTTCTATAAAACCTGTTGTAAGTGAGCTACGCCTACGCTATTTTTAATATAGTTTCTAATTAATTATAATAACATTATTAGGACCTTAAAATAATTATTTGGGCTATTATTATGAGTTATATTGAGTGTTATTTAACGCTTATATAATAATAATAATAGTTAGACTATTAATTAGTCGCGGTTAACGTCAGACTAAACCCTAGTCATATTGATACTAGGTTTTGTCGAGGAAAATTGTGTTAAGAGTGAAAAGTGTTGTCCAAGCGCCGAGTCACCATCTTCTCAAGTGAGTGCATGGTCCCTTTCATCTTACACATAGATATGAAGTATTTTAATATAAACTAGAAAGTGACCACGCTACATGGGGGTTATACCAATTGCTGTGACGTTTGATTTTTTTGGATTTACGATATTATTTGTTTTGTGATCGTGTTCACATTGGATATATGGAGTGTGTTTCTGTTTTGTGCGAGACCCTCTTTATACTGGATATATATGGGCCGTCTTACAGAATGCGGATTAAAGGATATTTTTTCATTACATAGTCATTACATCATTTTAGATTACATAAGTAGATGCAAAACATTCCTTCATTGTAACGTTATTACATGATTTTAGTTCGTAGAAGCTGATGCAAAAGAGGTTGATGCTGCAAAAGAGGGTGGTGTTGCTATCTCACGGTGTTCGATGGTCTTGCAGGATTTTGTTGCACACATTGATTGCTTCTGACATGTTTTCCTGCATCATCCCGAACATATCGAGCATGAGCACCGTGATGTTGTCAAGGTCGGTGATGACGTGGGTGGTTATTGTAAGCTCATTGTATGGCAGTTCTTATGGAGCGTCATGTAGTAGTGTCTGCATCTCTGTGTTGATTGTTGTGTATGTTTGTTGGAGATCGGCTAAGGAGGTCTTCATCGTCTAGAGGTGCCGATGAGCTTATGCATGATGGTTTCCATGGTGTTTGAATGGTTTATGGTTTTATGGCCATTGATCTGGGATTGATTTTATAGGGTCAAAATGTGGTGGTTGAATTGTAGTAACTATGCGGTATTTAATTTTCACCTGGGAAGTAATGCAAATGGGATGGCTGCGGCAGAGGTAATGAAGGTTTAGTTGGTATTTGCTTTTTTTGGTAGCTTTAGGCTATAGGGTTAGATATTAAATTTAATGTTAGATGTAAATGTGTATTTGAGTTGCAATGTGAATGGTTAGTTTTCTACTTTTCATATAAATGAAGCGTTGATTTCTCTAACTTTGTATATTTTGTTTGTAGATGGTTATTAAATATATGAATGAGGTATAACGCATATAATGATAAAATGGTTATTTAGTTTGTTTTGTCAGAGAATCCTTTTATATATTTGTTTTTTGACGTGTGTGTGTCTTTTGTTAACTTTTATAAATTTGGACATGTAAAGATATAGATTTGAAGCAGTTTACAATGTATGTGGGCCATAATTGTGAAATTGAATGGGCTAATTTACCGGTGTTAAAAAGTATCCAAATCCGAAAGTGTGAATTAAGAGTATGAAAACAACCGAAAATTCATTTATATATATATATATATATATATATATATATGTATGTATGTATGTATAGAGGAATAACATGTACGAAACGGAAAGTGAATTGCAATAACATCATTCATACAGAAGGGAAGAGGGTGTTAGTTTTCAGAAGCTAGGGGTGATGATGTTATTGTTGTAACACAAAAGATAGACATATTAGTAGAGCCGGAAGAGGGTGTTTATGTTGATTATGCATCGTGGCTGTTATTTGTTGGTCTGCTTTGGAATATTTTTCAATGTGGGACCTGTGGTGTGTTGAGTAAAAGTCAGTAGGATGTTTTAACATATGTATGTATTTTTTTGTATGTGAATGTGTATGTACCTGAAGGGTGATAGGATAAGGAGCGTGTGACGTTTTGAGTAGGTGCAGATGGCTCTGGTGATGTGTCGTTTTGTCGCTTTCTTGTTATTCGGGTTGGCGCCGGTGTTGTCGGGATGGATGTGTCGGTCATGGTTGTTAACGTTTCGTGGTCTATTATTATAAAACGTATGTTATCTGGAGATGATCCCCTGAGCATTTGGATGGACATTTTTTTCGTTTCTTCTTTGTGATATGTAATGGCTGGAGGTAGGGTATCTCCGTCTGTGAGCGGGTTGTTGGATATGAAGTTGTTAAGGGTTGACTTTAGAAGTTTCCGACATGATGTCTCTGACGTAGTTGCGGAGATAGTGTCGGTCGCATCGCTAATGATTACTGAGAATTTGTATCTATGAGGATGACATATTTATTAGTATTGCATATGTAGAGTGATTAAGTATATTATGTTCATTGAAGGATGATTACGTGTAGTTTGGTTTCTCGATATGTCCATGGGAACTGCAGAACCATTTTTCGCCTCTTTTAAAGATGGGATCCTTGCAATTTGGGCAAGTGGTTTGGTACCAACTGTTTTGGAAGACAAAGTCTTTGATGGTTGCACGCACAAGGAAAGTTTTGTCCTATATTTTGATGTGAATGGGTGAGATGATTGGTATCTGTGAATAGAGTAGTAGTGGTTTGATATTACCAGGAGTTCTGATTTGCTTTTTGTCTTCATCTCGTATAGGGTAGTGGGTGTTCTTGGTAGTGGTGGAAGCGGTCTTGAGGGTCCTGTAAAACTGATGTGATGGAGTTATTAGTATAGAGTATTGATTGTGCTGGATATATTGTGTGTGCATAACATGTATGGCTTACAGGTTTATAAGAGATGTTGTTTCTGGTATATCGGGGTTGACATAGATATGCGTAGCATGTGATGAGCCATGACGCAGTGCTCCTATAGATAAATCATTTGGACATTAGATATATCACCAGGGAAAATCTGATAGTTATTGACGGTATGTGTGTGATGGTATGTATGGTATAATACCGTTAGAGATGGACGGTTTTAAGTTGGTGACTGCAACCACTGTTGTTGCGGGTGGTGGATGTAAGGAGTCGCGGTTGAACTTTTGTGGATTTCCTATACAGTCTTTCCATAGATTGATTGCGATTTCGCTGCCACTGATACATTCAAATTTGCGTCTTCTATTAGTTCCGTATAAGAGGACTGGTTATTAAATTTTGTTACTTGCGATCTATACCTTTGGGCTGTTAGTATGAGGAGGACGTATGATTCCCAACCTACTTTGGTGCAGTCTCTGATTTTTGATAGGACACCGATGTAGTCTGAAAAAAAGTAAATATAAGTATGTAAGGGAAAAGTATTGTATAACGTGGAAGATTGAGATAAGTACCTGGGTAGTAAGGCGGTGTTTCTCCGAGGTCAATCAGATTTTGATCGGTGACGAAACGGAACCAAGTTTTGGGTATGGTTAGTGTGTCTAGAATATTTTGAATTACAAACATCAGTCCAACGTCAATGTAGAAGTCGTTTTCAAGGAATTTTTGATATTTGTCTAGCTTCGGGCAACTGTAATTTGATATTGTGTAACATTCCAATACGTTGAGTACAGATTCAATATAACTCTGGTTGGTTCGTTGGCCAAGAATCTGTATGGCACCCCCCTGCAAAAATGAAAGATGATTGTAATATAAGATTTTCTTTAGTGGGGGAAAAATGTAATGAACTTATTTCGGATTAAGGAAAGGAAAATGAAGTTGTATTTTCTAGAAATTAGAAAGTGATTTTTGGTATCTAAATGTAGAATCGTTAGTGTGTAAAAATTTATTAAGAGTTTCCCTAGATTCATTTGGAAACAACTTACAAATTTGTCGACAGCTAGGTACCAAGTTTCATAGCGTCGGACGTCATGTTTCCACTTCCGTAGTATCCTAACCTGTAGGGGACCGCCGATCCCGTCTGCCTTCAGATCAGAGATGCTGGTCATCGGTAGTGTGTGTTCTCTAGTTGGAACAAATATATGGGAATTAGTGCTATATTCGGATGTGAATATGGTGTATTATGTAAACAGATGGTTGAAATTTGTAATGATTGACAGATAGATGAAAAAAATTAAAAAAATAAATAAGTAAGCGAAAAATTCGGATAATGGTTGAGGAACGGTATGAAAATATGGGAAATGGTTGGTAGTGATACGATAGACCTCGGTTATAGTAACTTTCTGCAATAGATCTTTAAAAACAACGTTTTTTGTTTCATTCTCTTGTGTCAGGCTAGTAGTTTGTATAAGTATTTTTATGGAATCTGGTGATGTTGCTCGGGAAAGGGCGACGTAAAGTTGACCGTGTGAAAAGACGGGTTGTGGTAAATACGCGCCAATTCCACGCAAAGATTGCCCTTGTCTCTTATTGATGGTCATCGCATAGAAGGCTTTCAATGGGAACTGTTTTTGTGAGAAAGTGAACGGCATGTCTGATGACTTATGTATAAACTTCATGCGTGGTATGTATACACGTTTTCCAATGCAAGTTCCATTCATGATGGTTGCTTCAATTATGTTTGGTAGCAATTGGGAAACTATCATACGTGTGCCGTTACATAAGCCTTCTTTTTGGTTGATGTTTCATAATAGCATTATCAGACATTGTATTTTTAGTGTAAGCTCATGTGGGGGTATTCCTGGAAAGGTTAGATGGTTTAGGTACTCAATTGGATATAGGCCTTCAAAATCCGACGTATATTTCCCATTTGGTTGGATTGTATCTGAACTGTTATACGTTCTACTGTCCGATGTAACCATCCTTAGGATCTGTGCATTTATGTCATCAGCTATATCATTTGTAGGTCACACAATTGCTCTTACAGAAAGGTCAGAGGCGGTTGGATTTGTAAGTGCACCGTCTCCATAAACAAATTGTATTAAGGTTTTTAAAGATTCAGATCCTGGTGTTATTAGGAGAGAATTTGGGATTTGGATCAAACTTGACTCTTGTGGGTCGTCTTTGTCAGGTACGCCAATAACTCCATCTCCGATACGCAACAACCATGTTGCAAAAGCCGATGCATACATCAAACCATTGCTGGTTATTTCGGATGAATCTACTCTCATGTTCCTACGTAATAAGCAGATTCTGAAGAACCGCCATAGGTATAAACTTGGTAGAGTTAAGCCAATGATCTCTGAACGTGTACATTTCGGTAGGACGGGAAGCGTTTGTCGGAAGTCACCACCAAGAAGAAAGAATATGCCCCTAAACAGCTGGTCATCACAATCTAATACATCTCTAAGCGAACGGTCCAAAAATTCAAAGCATCTTCTGTCACTCATAGGCGCTTCGTCCCAAACAATGAGTGACGTACGCTGTAACAGATCACCTAGAAATGTTCTTTTTTTTTTTTTTTTTTTTTTTTATATCACACGATTTTTTGTCTGTTAGGTCAATTGGTATTTTGAACCTTGAATGTGCTGTTGTTCCAGAAGGAAGCAAAAGTGACGTGATCGCGGAAGCTGCAATCGCCAATACAAATTTTCCTTTAGACCTGAGATAGGAGATAATTGTAGTCCATAGGAACGTCTTTCCGGTACCTCCGTATCCATACACGAACATCAGTATTTGTTTTCTATTTTCAATCGAGTCTGTGACTGCGTTATACACTGAAAGTTGATAACTATTTAGCTTTGGCAGGAGGTTCTGATATTGTCTTTTAGGGCTTCTCTGTCATAGCTCATTTCTTCAAGAAGAAGTCGATTTTCTAAAACTTCGTTCATTTGATTTGAAGGAACCAGAAGACCAAAAACAACCATTGCTTTAGATGGGATGGAAGAACGGAGGGTGTGATCAAGATCGCTTAGTAGTTGTTGCTGGATTAATTCCGTAAAAGAGGCGACGTCCTTATCTGGCATTTCTCCAATTGGACCAGCGAACATCGTCACCTCTAAACTGACGTACTGCATATGTGGTTTGTAGTTTGCCCTTGCAATCACATGTTATGAAAGCCAACTCCATCTCCGAGATCCAATCCATAACTCCAATTGGATCTTCTTTCCCAGTGAAAATCGATGACTTGCAAGTTGTGAAGTCCTTATACTTGCATTCATTCCTCTCGACTCTTTTATCTTGGTTGTTCCTCCTAACCACTGGCGGTTCAGCTTGACTAATAGTCCTACTGTAATTCCCTTCTTCTGACTGTTCGTCATTCAGCTCAGGCTGTTCAACAGGTATCGTAGGTTCATCCCTATTCTGTTGAAGTAAACGCCTTGTCTCCTCCATCAGGCGATCCAACATCATCTGGATCATAGCTTGTACCCCAACCATCGTCATTGGCTCAGGTGCATCTGCTACAACTGGTACTTGTTCAATCACTTGGGGTTGAGGCTGTTGATTGTCATTTACATTGGCATTTTTGACTCCACTTCGAGTTCTTGCCATGATGTTCTATACACCAAATCATACGTTCAGTGTGTAGTGACGAGAATTAAGATAGGAAAACTTTATCTACAATAGACGTATTAAATCCTCCTTATTACTCCAAAACGTTTACATGCTAGTTCTAATATCGTAGTCAAACGTTTATAATCCTAAACACATAAAGTTTCTAGATTCGTTCGGCAACAGACCATAGATCCGAACAAATAATAGCATATAAGGCATATTTATAGTTATAGCTATAACACAAAGCATTTAGCACATAAAAGCATTTTAGGCATCTTTCCTAAAATAAACTAGTGCTTGTGTCTAAAATATAGCAAACGCTCATCTCACAATCATCACTTAGCATTCTAAGTTTAAGTCTAGAAATCTTACAATTTACTAGTTCGCTTAAACTAGTGCTCTGATACCAACTGTGACATCTCCGAATTCATGGACAGAAAAGACCGATTTGTTTATGCTTTATTTGAAAACCAGAGTATATTTTTAAAGAAATATAATGCGGAATTTGTTCCCAAAAAATATGAAAAAGAATTTATCAAAGCATTTCCGTAGAAATGTATTATATTAAAAACTTTGGGATATCATTGTTAATACAGATCAAAAACATAAACATAAACAACATAGACATTATAATATGTATTTATTCTAGTAGCCTATAATCCATTGATCTCTCATCAGATCATTACTCCTGTGCTCTCTTTCCACTACCTGTATATGAGAAAAATGAGTGGGTCAGGCTTGGGAGTCTGGTGAGCACATAGGGTTTTCAACCCGCAATAAATAAGTTTATTAATTTCATCAACCAATAATAACCCGATTACCAATTCCCGTTATCCTCACTTTACGTCCCTAAAACACCTATTGTAAGGGATCTAGCCTAAGGATTATCAACAGGATGGACACTATTGCTAAGGGTTTTCCTCAACAATAAATGTCCGTAAGGCAACCATGAGGGAGATAGAGTACACCAACGAACACATCGTTCACAAACACCTACAGGTTGCGGGCCTGCTAGCATTCCACTTGACTATCTAGAATAGTCTGTGGTTGTCATCTATACTCTGCTAGATGACTAGATCAACAACAACATCGATGCCTCTCATCATTTTATTTCATCACACACCAACTATTTCATCTACCCATGTTTTACCCCCAACATATTTGTAGATATAAAATACATATACAGTTTAAATCATTTAAAACATGTATAATAGTGGTCGTCTAACATAGATAACAAGTATACAGACAAAATGCACACATAACATCTAAAAACTAAATAAATATGCATATATATGCGTAAGATGAAAATAAATATGCACTCACTTTAGTAGAGGGAGTAGATAGAATCTAAAAACGGTCAATGGCTCGTGATCGTCGGACTCGGGACGCGGAACGGCTTCAGAAAATGAGAGAGAGAAGGAAGATTTGGTTTAAGAAGTGAATGAGGTCGAACTTGCTATTTATAGGCTGATTTCAGCCCATTCACGTCGTGAGAAGTCATTGCTCACGTCGTGAGCCATGGATGAATCACCTCGTAGCTTCGACATCTGCGTTCTAGGCTTGAAGAGTGTCTGTTTGACTCCTCACATCGTGAGAATTCATTACTCACGTCGTGAGCTTTTAAGTTATTGTTCCCATAGACTTCTAGCTTTGAAATGTGACTTTTTGACTCCTCACGTCGTGAGTCTAGTCAATTTAGGGTTTCTGACACGTGTCATGCTCTTAGACAACTGTATCTTCGGAAGGTCATAACTTTTGCATACGAACTCCGTTTTTGATGTTCTTTATATCCACGTGTAGGTGGAGACGTACTCTACAACTTTCATTTAGACTCCTAGGGATAAAAAGTAGTTTATCATAAATTAATTTTTACGTTTCCCAGTGTCGTGTCGGTTTTGACGCGAAACTTCGACAGATCATATCTTCTTCGTTATAACTCGGATTTCAGCGTTCTTTATATCTCCAGAATCCTTGTCCCGACCACTACAACTTTCTTCATAGATATTGGACCTATTTATTATTTTATTTTTGATGCTTATTTTTATTCTTAACTTATTATATCTTATAATTAAGTATAAGGCACATAAAATCACATAATATTCAAATAATTCATATTTATTATTTCAAAGTAGGTTATAAGTATTGACCATAACTATTACACAATTAAATTAATGCTTAGCCTAGAAATACGGGCGTTACAGTGGAGGTTCACAAATGCACGTTTTCTGGTATCGGGCTGCCACGTCCTGGCCTAGGAAAAATCCCAAAACTCAATAAATGAAATTAAATTCAGAAGAACCATACCAGGAAACAGATGTTACAATCGATACTTGATTCATAGAGGGGTGTCTATTAAGTCACTTGCCTAGCCTGCAACCGCCACCCGAAATCCTTTGTGCACTTGTTCCTCAGATGCTCGACTGCTCTAGAGCTTTTGGCTAGGTTGAAGGAGAATTGGCCTTTTCTTCCTGATTTTAACCATTGCAGGGATGTTGACTTTCTTTTTAATGGTGTTGCCAAGCCCAACTAGTCTAGAATATGAAATATGAGGTGGTATAAGAGCCTTCTTGTGGACTCTTTGGTGTAAAATGAGCAATATCTATTTTAGAAACTCTGTTAAAAACATTCCTAGTTTAGTTGATGTTAACTGTTATTCTTGTAGATGAGCATTATAAGCAAACTAGAAAAAGTTCTCGATTCGGACTTGTGGTTGTAAGGTTGCTTTGTTTCCCTTAGGGGTTTTTCTGCTAGCGCCTTACTAGTTGTGAATGAAGTTGTGTTGTTAAAAAAAATCATGCGCCTCACTAACTTGTTAAAATTGATCGAAGTGAAACCTTATTGTGTTATGTTGCATTGAGATGTTTAAGTTGGTATCATCATTGATCATACTTACAGTAGTGAAAATATATTTACATTATATACAACATGCTTTAATTAATAATAACGTACGTAGAATTAGGAAACAAACTTGAAACATCAACAGACTTATAATTTAGGCAATAACCAATATGCACTAATCAAACATAAACTTGAAAAAAACATCAAAAAAACAGCATACTCAAGGTTTAGGCACATAACTAACATATACACTAATCCAATCTCTAAAAAAATCATATACATTAAAACTTCGTAAATTTACATAAACATCATAATTTCACCTATAAATCAACATAACAAACTATTGATTACCATAAATTTTTGGCCATAATAACTAATCTAAATTTCATAAATTCATTCAATCATTCATTCATAATTAAACAATATATTAACATGAACTCATACATGAATTTACAATTAGCATAATATGATCACTATAAAACTATTATAAACCGAGTTGGCAAATCATGGGCGAGAGCCGGGGCCTTTCTACCTCATGATTTTGCTGGAGATGAATGGGAGAGACAAATGACATCCGCTCGAGGGTAGGAGTACTCATGCTAGGGGGGATCGAGAGACTGCTCCAATTAGATGTGGATGTTGGGAGGGAGAGACCACGGCCGAATTCGCCTTCGAAGCCAAGAACCAAATGTTTACATTAGAAAACTTGTGGTAATCGTACGTAACTAGTTTACATATGGAATATATTTTCTGTACGCCTCAAAAAATTAATTACATCATAAATGAAGATCTTTAGCTATCATCCTGCCAATAAACATCTATCGCTACATAGGCCCAAAGAAACCATACTTTTGGGTTCCATTAATAATGTACAAGCACACACTTTGACCATGCAAAATCATGCATGATCACGGTTTGCCATATTTTTTTGCCAACTTTGCAAGAACCCCAACCGCACATGAATTGATATACGTGCATGGCTCGGTCATGGAGGAGTTAACCCGTGCGTCCACAAATCTATCCGCCCTGTCCGGTCCACCAAGGATGGCACCCGTTAGCTCATTCGGATTTGGTTTATCTGTGTTGTACCAGTAAACAAAGCTCATCCCACAGTTTACATCACCCTTTGCATCCACCGGCACAGATGCACCTCTATGATGCGCATGCAACGGTGGGTTCTTTCCAAACCCTACCATCATCGACCGCTTTACTGGGTTATTCCCCAATAAATAATCCATCTGCAATTTCATAATACTAAACCATTTAGCACCGAAATGATTACATCTTCGATCTTAATGGTTAAGATAATGGCTCTATATATCAAACATTAGCCCAAAAGATTACGTTCAAATTAGATTGTATGCAATCAATTAGTAAATATAGACGTTTATACATATATATATATATACACCTGTTTCTTGGCGAAATCCATGATCTGTACACAAGTGAAACGTTTGTCACCACAAGTGACTTCCATTTTGTGTCTAGCTAACAAATCACTGTAAACACTGAAAAGAAACGCTGTGGATGTCACATATTGCGAATTTGCACCATCTCTTAAGTGAATCAAACCTCCTGCAAGCATGCATGCAAACATTTCTTACGATTTATCTATATGAGTATTTGGGTGGATAAACTTTGAGCCGAAAACCTATTTTGTAAAAGTGTGATCAGACCTGGGGTCATGAAAACTTGACGATAAGGGCTTCCAGGAAGAATGTTACATACAAATCCATCAGCTTGTTGCTTGAACGTCTGTAAATCCTTTTGTCCTTCCCAATACAACTGTTACAATCCATTATCGAAACTGTCTTGTGTCAAAACAGATGAATCATCATGCATAACGTTACAGATAATAATAATAATAAAACCTTGTAATTGATTATTCGTTAAGATCGATATACCTGAGAAAGAAGGATCTGAGCACCAGCAAATTTGAGGTCCCAGCTGAATTCAGTAACAACAGCGGTGGTTGACTCGTCTTGTATAAATTTTAAGTATATTGGCCTCTTTGTTGCAATGTATAGCCATGTTGCCCCCCATAGTAACTCATCCTGCAAATTCATTCATTTATCTTACATATATCAACTCCATTTTCTGTAAATTATTATCACCCCACAATATTTGTAAACTGTATTACGTAAGAAAGTCGATGGAGAGAGATTATACACGATAACCGGAGAATGAGCAATAGAAAGGGCATTCACCATCGAAAGTTCCCCTATGTTCTTGAGCAAATTGAAACAGCTGCAAATGAATCGAATCGATTTCTTTTATTAATACAAACAAAACTAACACCCATGCATAAAAACACGTATACCAAAATTAAAAAACTTGAAAAAGAAAACCTTTTTCGCTCCATTTAGAAGCTTTTGAGAATAGGGTTGATCGACACCCCGAAACACAATTGCTGAAGCAGCCAAAGCAGCAGCAGTTTCGGCAGCAATTTCAGTTCCGGGTTTTTTTTCATTGAGTTCCAAAACTGGTCTAGCTGATTTCATCTTTTCAGGCCTCATCCAACACTTGTGATCGGTCACCGGATCTCCGACCTATTAATTTCATTTCAGAAAAGTCAAGAATTCTGATCGAATGAACACCATAAAACGTATGTTTGAGAAGTTAATTAATTCAATATACGTTGATTATACCTGAACAAAGAAACGATTACGTAGACTACTGGCTTTAAGAAAATAATCGGTACCCCATCGGATTGCATTACGAACATTATGTATTTCTCCGGCAGCGGTAAGCTCCGGCTGATAGAAGTATGCAGCCCACGCCAATGTGGTCACGGTGAACGCCATCGGGAAACCATACTTGACATTATCTCCGGCATCATAGTATCCGCCGGCCAAATCAACCTATAAACACATCAAAACAAAAAGTCAAAACATTCTAATTACGTGTATTTATATGCATATGTATTGATGCTTTCGATCGAAGGCTTACACCGGCTGCTTTTCCATCATCAAGAGCAGAATCTCCTCTCCATAGAGGCCTAGGGTGTGGAGGAAGCTTCCCGGACCTCTGAGCTTCCAAGAAAATTATGGATTTCTTGAGGGCGTCTTTATAATCAAAGTTGGCGTTTATGCACACCAAGAAGCTTGAGAAGAGAGTCAACAAGACCATCAAACTGCATGAATATTCCGCCATTGAAGAAGAAACTCGATCGTTCAAGAACACAAGATTATAGAGGTTAATTTTGGCGGGAAGGTTATGAAAGAAAATAGTTTGGTTGTTTGGGTGGTTGAGGGGGCCGGGTTTGAGAGTTTTTTACTTTGAACAAATGTTTTTGTATGGCTAGTAAACGTAAAAATGCAACATCCACACATACGTCCTACTTTCATTTATTGCCGTTTATTTATATTAAGCATATAAAGTTAAGGCTTTTATTTAATTATTTGTCATTTGAAAAATTAGGTTTATATGATTAATTAGTTTGGTTGTGACATTCCCCTTAATTTGTCACGTTCTTTTTTTCAGTTACAAATTGAACAAACTTGAATATTGACATTTGACAGTTATAGACGTTTGAGTTTGCCTTTTGATATGCATGAGTTATAGACGTTTGAGTTTCTCTTTTGATGTGGTCATAAATTAGTATAAAAGATAAATTGGTAAAATTATTATTAGTTAGCAAAAGACCGAATTACAGTTTAAATATAATTTCACCTCTATTTATAAGACTTTCGGCTATGCAACTTTACATGTGGTTAAAAGTGGTGAAATTTGTATCTTTTACGTAAAGTCTGATCTTATATATTGTTAGAAGCATAAGAAAGTAAAAACATATTGGTAAATTAATTACTTGATAAGGACGTTGGTGGCCATGATTGCATTGCATGCACTTAGAAGGTAAAAGTGATGTTGAAATTACGAAACGAAATAGTCGGATTGACGGAAGAAGGCAAGTAACTAAAACGCTTTGTTCTTTATAAACATTAAATTCTAATTCTAAAAAAGAAACAAGGTTTTACTTTTCTTTTCGTAATTTCAACATCATTTGTAACTTCTAACTTCTATAAGTGTATGCAAACTTGGCCGCCGACGTCCTTCATCATTTAATTATTTCGATTTCATAAATTCTATAAAGTTTTTGTGAAAAGCTTATCTAAATTGTATAAAATAAATAATGACAAGAGAGAGGAGAGCAATGGCAACCAGAATATAGTTACACATAGAAATGAGGACGGGTCGGATCATCCGTTAAAAAACACAACATTAACCACATATTCAATTTGAATAATCATTTTATTCATTCTATTGAATCGTTCAGTGATCATTCTTTTTATTTTTTTTTATTGAAAATGACAAATGAATTAACGGAAGCACACACATAATATTTCAACGTGAACACTGAGTTCGAGCTCCTGCATATGCAGACAAACCCAACCTCTATAGGGATCTCCGGAAAAAAAAACCCCACATGCAGCACTAAAGATGTATCCTCCAAGGCATGAAACGAGGACCTAAGGTCAAACATGAGTATAAAACCTCATGTATCAATCCAGCTAGGTTGGACGTCATTTGCATTCAATGATCATTCAATTCTATTCCATGCCTCACCCACATTTCTCTCAACTCATATTTAATCATAATTATCATCCTATTCAACTCTTATACTACTTATATTGTGGTTGTTCTAAGATTCTTATCCGCCAAAACCAAACTGAACCACATAAGGGATTTTAAAGGGGATCCCCATTAGGCTTACTCTTTTCCTAAAAGCGTACCAATCATATCAACCACATAAGGGATTTTAAAGGGAATCCCCATTAGGCTTACTCTTTTCCTAAAAGCGTACCAATCCTATCGAGGAACATGATAATAATAAAAACCAACCCAAGTTATTATAAACAACTATATTTTTAAATGACAACTTAAGCTAAAAATTCTAAATAATAACATGAAACATGTCAAAGAATAATATTTGATATCTCAAACATCAACAAACTAACTGTCCTAGTTCGATATTCCAGATATTCCATTAGAATGACTGATGTTGGACTAGCTGACTCCCTAAGCTTAACTAAGAAAAATGACTTACGAATCCAACGAAGTTTTCAAACCGTTCAAAAAATCTTAATCATGTTTTATCTGGTTCAAGATAACCCAACGAGTTTAACATTTTGTCTTAAAATCCCAACTAAATTACACTTTTGTTTAATTCTTTCGAAGTAAAAGAAGAGAAACAGATGACGTGACTTATTACTATATCGGAAAAATAACTTGTAAGACCAACGAAGTTTTCAAACCGTTAAAAAAAACCCAATCATATTTTGTTTGTTAAACAAACACCCAACAAACTCAACATTTTACACAAATAAAATATGATCAGGATTTTTTAAACGGTTTAGAAACTTTGTTGGATTTTTTTAGACTAAATGTTAAGTTCGTTGAATTTTTTTAAACATTCAAAACAATATTGATGTTTTTTAAATAGTTTGTAAACTTCTTTGGGCATGTAAGTTATTTTCCCTAATAACTACATGTTCAAACTTCAATCTTCAAAGATCATCAACACATCTAATACCAAATGTTTAAATATTAGATTAAAACATTCAAAAATATCTAACCATTTATTCGTAAAATGTCCAAACGTGTCAATCTTCCTTATTTTCATATAACATTTTAAACCATCAATTAGTCTACAACAATGTAAAATAAAATGATTTTAACAAAAAATCATAATAAGTTTTATTTTTCGTTAAAATATTATTATATAATTTATTTACCTTTCTCACATCATACTCAACTGTACGTAAATAAACTTTGATCTCACCGAAACAAGTTGTTGTTAAAAAAAATGAATAAAAATTCTAAATATATAAAGTATAATGGAATCTTAATAACTAAAATTCAACATGTCATCACCTCGTAATTCCTTCAAAATCCAACTTTGACAACACATTGATATCTCCAATGTCTTTGCGTGTAGTTAACTACGATGTAGACCTACCATCTAGCACATGTGGTCAATGTATGTTGTAATACCCACAAATTCGGGCTAACCAATTTAGAAATAAAAAACATTAAAAATAACTTTTTGATAGAAGATTATTTAGGATAAATAATACTAACCAAAGCTATAGTATATGTCACAAGGTATACCTAGGGGTGCAAACGAGCCAAGCTACTCGCGAGCTACTCGATATCGGATCGTTAAAAGCTCGACTCGAAACCGATTTTAAACGAGCCCGAGCCGAGCTCGAGCTTAATATTAAGCTAGTTTATTAAACGAGCTCGAGCTCAAGCCTATGTCAGAAAGCTCGATTAGGCTCGCGAGCCTAAACGAGCCTTTATATAATATAATTTATTATTATTTATATATATTAAAATAAAAACATATTAGGGGAATTATGAATTTCGGGTATTAGTAAACGAGCTTTTTAAGGAGCTCGAGCCGAGCTTAAGCTTATTTAGCCACGCCTAATAAAAACGAGTCGAGCTCGAGCCCGAGCCGAGCTTGTATAACTCTTTATGAGCTCGAGCCGAGCTCAGTAAAAGAAAGCTTGAATCGAGCCGAGCTTGAGCTCGAGCCTCATATAACTTAAACGAGCCCGAGCCGAGCCTGGCTAGGCTCGGGCTCGACTCGGCTCGTTTGCACCCCTAGGTATACCGGTCATTTTAGGTTTTTCGCAAGTTGGGAAGGTGTCATCCGATTTAGGAATAGGGGCAAGTTGGGCCCCATGTATTTCTGTCCTTTTAGGTTTTTGGCTCGGGTGAGCCGGGTTGCATATCGCTTGGATCTTCCAGAAGAGCTCAGTCAGATTCATAGCATGTTCCATGTCTCTCAGACACAGAAGTGCTAAGTGGATGATTCAATAGTGGTCCCATTGGAGGATATTCAGGTAGATGACCGCCTAAATTATATCAAGAGATCGGTGGTGATCCTTGATCGAAAGATGAAAACCTTGAGGAACTAGTATGTGGAGTTGGTGAAGGTATAATGGCAGCACCATAAAGGTTCATAGTGGACTTAGGAGCTAGAATAAGAGATGAGGGAGCACTATCTGAAGTTATTCGGTGCAGCGGACTTCGAGGACGAAGTCTTATTCAAGTGGGTAGAATTGTAACACTCTCACTTAGGGTATATTTCATATTTAACTCTTCTCATTTAACAGTTTTTCATTTTAGTCATTGAGCTAGTACATGGGGTGTACAGGGTGGTACGCTTAGCGTATTAACCCGGTTTGGATCGCTTCTTTGGACCACGTACGTGGGCATACACTTGTGTACGCATGATGTACGTGTGAGTAAGTGAAACCATAATTTTAGGGTGTTACACCCTATTTAAACCTTGTAATAGCCTCACTAGTTCATGTTTAGACAACATCCATCCCCTCTTGTCCAGAAAATCGAACCCTAAGTGAAATCTTGAGAGTTTGAACCTTAAAGTGTGATTGTTGGTGCTTTGTGAAGAAGAAAAAGAAGTGAACCATTTGGAGTGGTGCTTGGAGCTTGAAGATCTGAGATTTCTTCTTCATTTGCTTTCCTTCTGAGGTAAAAAGCTTCTATCTTGCTAATCCATTATGCTACATCTAGTTAGGTGCCATTTTGTGCTTTTTGAGTATATTGTTTGATTGTTGAACCTCTTGATTCACTCCAAAAGTGATTGATGGTAGATCTAGGGTCCTTTAGGTCCCTTTGTCCATAAAAATGCAAGCTTTATGGTATTTATGATCACATGAATGTGTTAAGTCATTTGTTAATCTCCTTTGATCTCTAAGAGCCTTATTAAGTCGTGCATTCACGTAAAGTTGGAAACTTTATGTGATAAACCACCTTAAGGAAGTCAGATCTAAGTGTTGGAGTGAAGTCTTAACCGTTTAAGAGCTGAATGAGAAAGTTGGCCAAGTGGTGGAGTATGTTAAGCGAACAAGCAGGTACACCACACATATAAGCTCTTAAGCGAGTACGCTTAGCATACAAGCTGAGTACATCATGTGTACTTAGCAGATGGGCTTTAGAATGTTGGGGCTCACGGTGTTAGGCCATGTTTGGACTCTAGATGATTAGGGTCTTGGTGGGCCATCAGAAAATTATTTGGGCTAATGATATTTTATTGGACTTTGGTTGAAGGCCCATGAAGGGGTTTAGACCCAATTTGGAAATTTTGGCAATAATTGGGCCTTGGATGATTATTTTGGAATCTGGGCTTTTTGGACATTTAGATTGGGATTTGGCCTTGGGCTAATTTAGGGAAAGGGTAAAAATGCCTTTTACCTTAGTTTGGACTCTTAATGTGTATCAGGATCTAATTATTAATTAGATGTTAGTTTGCAATTGATAGCATGAGGATTTAGCGGGACAACAACCAGAGATTTTTCTGTGAGATTCAATAGTGCAAGGTGAGTTTCCTCAACATGTTTAGTGGGTATAATGCACCAATGTCGGCCCATGA